TCACTGATAAGGCATTGAAAAAAGATACCTAACTGATAAGGTTATATTATTGTAAATCTATATATAAAACTAATCAAATTTGTTTGTTTTTTTATTATTATTTTGATAGAATTTTAATTAGACATATACTATTGGTACTCAACACTCAGTAGGATGATCTTACTATATATGAAGAAATGAGACAAATACTTTTTAGAGTGCATAAATTTAGATTTTCATAACAAAGTTATTTAAGAGAGTTAGAATCGCTAAAACTCTAATTTTTCAATACAACTATTCTCAATTTCAATACATACTTGATACTGACTTGTGTATAAAACAGACTATGGTAGGTAGTCGTTAGGAAAGAAATGGTAGGGAATGCATAAAGTTAGCCCTCTACTATTGATTATTCATGCATGCATTATAATCAACTTCGTGTAGCCTTCTGCATAAATAAATGGAAAGGGCTCGTATTTGTCAATGTTAATCAATAAATTACAACTTTTTTTTTCTTTTTGTTTAATCCTTGAGGTATTTTCACTATAAAAAAAAAATGTAAAAGTTGGTACATAGATTAGAATCATAAGTTTAGAACTATTTTCGATTTACGTATATTTTTTGTGAGAGAAAACACTGTAGCGAACCATGAACCATAATTCGAATTGGGGTACGAATCCCCCAACCAAACAACCCTTAAGTTTTGAAAGTTGTAAAAGTAAAACCTTAAAAGTTATAAAAGTAAACTTTTATTTTTAAAATAGTTAGAAAATGTAAAAGTTGTAATGATTACATGAAAAATAAGCATTTCAACCAATAACAATTAAATGTTAAATTTTTCATATGCTATACTTGGTGAGAAATCTATCACAAAATATAGCATGCGAAAAATTTAGCACAACAAATAATATTACATTGAAGAATAATTTTTATACTTAAATATTAAATTTATAATTGGCACATCAATTATATTATTGCATTGAAACTGCTCTTAGTACATGGAGCTAAATTACTTTATCTTTTTTATTACTTAGAGCCCGTTTGGTTGGAGGATTCGTTCTCTGTTTCGAATTATGGTTCATGGTTCGCTACAGTATTTTCTCTCACAAAAAATACACGTAAATTAAAAATAATTTTAATCTCATGGTTCTAATTCATGAACCAAACGGGCTCTTAGTAGTTAACGTGGTGACCTTTTTGCTTCATAATTATAACATTGTTATTTTTCATTTTTCTAATTTCTATTTTATGAGTTTCAAAAGCTTAAAAGTAAGGACATCCTTATCAAAATAATAATAGTAGTGACAACAATGAATATAACATTACGAATAATAGTATGTATTAAAATACAAAATAGAACGATATATTATAATGAATTTTCCACTTTTTTATTTTATTAAATATAAAATTGACATTAGCAATTGCAATGTGAAGTTATACTTCATTTTCAACTCCTCTTATCTGGCAAAGAGAATGTTAGATGCAATTCAAGTCAAGTCACAACTTTATTTAGGGCACGTTTAATTCGTTAATTCGAGTTGAGATGTGACTTTACGTGAAAATTTTTTATTGTAGTAAAAATGTTAAATGTGACTGTTTATGAGTTTTTTTATTGTAATAAAACTCAAATGTTAAACTCGAATCGATGAAAAAAATGAGACATTAAATTTCTAAAAATTGCTTAACCACAGCTCTCTACTTTATTTTGAGAGTTAATTGTGGTCCCTTGCTTTTCCCCCGTGGTGCTTGTGCTTTGATGGTGAAAAAAAACCCAAAAAAGTCGATACAAAAGTGATGTGAGAAGTGCAAGACAAAAGCTTCATGGCGTTTTACATTCAAAGCGCTTATTAATAAAGTAAAGAGGTAGTGCTTGTGTGGAGGGAAACACTTGCACGTGAGCCAGCATTTGCTTCAATGGGTTTGCCCTGTTTTCTGCTTCTAAATAAGCTAAAACTAAAACTATATAATAAAAAAAGAATATGTCAAAAGGGCTTCTAATTTCAGCTATTGCTTGTGCTGTGTGATGCTAGCAAAAACCACTTTTTTTTTCCTTCTATTAGAGAGAGGTGGGTATTGGTCCCAAAATGGACAAGAACCTATATCAATTACATCCTTTTCTTTTCTTTTTTTTTTTTTTTTTTGAGTGAATCAAAGAAACCTCACTTTGATACTTTGATTCTCTTGTCCATTAGAGGATCTAGTGGGCTATTCTACTTTTGGGTATCCATTAGATTTTGTTAGTAATATCCTTTTCATTGATTCTTTATGCTTCTCTACTTTTGATAGATATCTTCAGCTGAGCAAAAGCTTTCTTTTATATGTAGATTAATAGTAATAAAATTCAAAGCTTCTTTTTTTGTCCTTTTCTTTTCCCTTCTAATCTCAAAAGATATTTAACTTCTTGTCATAACTTACAAAGGTTTCCAGATTGAATACTAAACACAAAATCGAAAAGTATCTTCAACGTTATTGCTTCAAAAACTTTTTATAAAGTTGTATTGTATTATACGCAGATTTAATAGTTGAAAAAACTTAGTCTATCGGTATACCAGACGTACCAGAAAATCTCCATAATGTTAATTGTATAGCATTTACTACTTAAACAGCACATGATTTTCCTTTTCATTTGCTTTCTATTATTTTCCATAAAAAGAAGGGGGGAAAAAACAGAGAGAATGAGGATTTGATATTTAACTTCATCATTAATGTCAACAAGTATGAGGGACCAATTGAGCTGGGCTAGATTGAGAAGTTGTTTTTATCAAGTTGGGGTTGACTTTTACAAGTCATTGCTGAAACTTGAAAGGTACCATTATTAACATTTTTAATATGAGTTGTTAACAATGAGTGAGACGTTTCATTTTTCTTCTCTCACTAGTACTACCAAATTCAAATTTAAAATTAAAGACTTACCCCAAAACTGCATGTTCTTGATAGGTGACAAAAGAGTGGTTAACATAGTTTTCCTTGAAAAAAAAAAACTATTATAAATTAAAAAGAGAAGTAACAAATATTTTGAACTCCAAATTCAACCTAGATATTAAGTTGGTATTTATGAAAGAATCATACCAATAAAATCTTTATCTTAAATCTTAAATGCTGAGTTGGTCTAATATGGGGGTCCTGGGATACTATCGGAAATTATAAGGTTGTACTTGACAATTGTGTATGAATGCTTACATGCCAACAATACTTAGCATGCATGTTGGTTCCTCCTTTTTGGGATATCAGTTGTTAAACTCACATAGCTTGAGTGTTTTGAGTTCCACATCTTGGAGTGTCGTGAGGCTTCCCGTCGTGATCCTTCGCCTGGTTCTCATTTGGAGATCCAGCCCGGTATCGTTGTGGACGCTTCTGACTTAATAAATTGGTAACTGATGTTTGGTTGGAGAATTCAAACTATGATTTGAATCATGGTTCATAGTTCGTTACAGTGTTTTCTCTCACAAAAAATACACGTAAATAAAAAATAATTCTAATCACATGATTCTAATCTATGAACCAAACGTCTCCTAATGAATACTTATACGGGGATCTTTGTATTGTGTGTTGTTAGGAAGCTATCAAAATTCACTGCTCGTTTCTCTTGTATTTGCGCTTTTCCCTTAGCACTATTTATTCATGAACCATTCCATAACATATAAAAAGTACCACTAATCTAAAACATTTCAACTAATACAAATATATATATATATATCTCTTAATTAAATAAACAAATTAACGAAAGCTGACTTGTACTTGGGTGGCTTTCATACGACTAGAATTGACCTTACCTTTGTTTACTTTCTCTTCCTATTAAGTGGTTATTATTTCCAGTTGTAACCATTTCTAGGCATGAATCTGATTTGCGATTTGCATTCTTGAAAAATGTGTAACTCATATTCCAGTTTTGAGATTTTTTAGATACGGTGAGTGTAGCAACTATGTTATCTCATTTAACCTAAAGAGTTTAAAGGAGCAATGTTATAGCGCATCAGTTGTGCTTAATACTATCCGTTTATAAAATGTGAATTTTACAGTGTGAAACCTACAAATAGGACTCATATTCTATTAGTGATGTTGCTTAATACTGGTTGCGTCTAAACATTTTTCGACTTTAAAAGGATTTGCTTTGTACTTTGTAAGTTCCACATAAATCTCATACGTGTGTGAAGAACAACAAAATACTAAAAATTCGTGAAAATCTAAAAAGTATACCTAGGTTTTAGTTAAATCCTATATTTATCCTTATGTTTTTATGATCCAAATAATCTCAAATGTTTTAACTTATTTCATAATTATCCTCTCCATTTTTCAAAAAAGAAAAAAAATTTATTTGGCCTTTAATTATATAAAATTTTTTAAAACATAAATTTTAATACTAAACAAAATTAAGAGCCTACGTATTTAGATGACCGCAAAGTGAGATTTAGGCCTCGTTCATTTCGCTGATTCAAGTTTAGAATTCGAGTTTTGCTACAGTAAAAAGCTCTCACAAATAATCACTTCTAACTTTTTTGCTACAGTAAAAAGCTCTCACATAAAATCACATCTCAACTCGAATTAAAAATTTGAATCAACGAACTAAACGGGCCATTAATATATGTGAGACCAATTTGCGGGTCCAAATCCACTAGTCGTGTGGCAATGGTAAGGGGTGAGATCCTATATGGAGTTAGACTAGTCCAACCTATTAGGTTTTAGATTTTTTTAAAATAGAATTTTTTTTTGTTTGAAAAATCTGCTCCCCTTTTTGTTTAAATTTAGTTTCCTAGCTATTGATATTAAAGATCTTAAGGATATTGATTTCACTTTCAACAATTTGACCACTCAAAGTGTTACATTTTTCTTCTTTTAAAAAACTTAGGGTGCAATTTTGGGTTTGTTTAAAAACAAAGGGATACGTTTTGAATTATCAAGAACATAGGTATAAATGTAGGATGTATATAAAATTGGGGGGTACCTTTTGAATTTTCTCGTAAAAATCTCCACAACAGTTGAAAGGGAACCCATAGACATCTTCAATGAACTCGATTAACCATAAGTTCTGTAGGAAAATGGGAAAATCCATTGAGCTAATGTTGGATTAACCACTAGTCCTGGAGGAAAAATACATCTTAACCCGGCTTTCCTAACTGCAATGCACTGAACAAAAAGATATCCAAGCGACTCTCCTAAGTCGTAGGATACTTCTAGCAACAATCACAGATGGCAAAAAAGAAACAAAAAAGCTTTACACCTTTCTCTCAAATCTTGGTCACTTTTCATTGCAGTCTGATTCGATCAAGACTCTCCGAAACAGTCTTCATCCGGGGACGAATCTCCGGGTCAATTTCTGTACAATTAAGGGCAATATGAAATGCTGCCACGACCTGTTTCTTTGCGTGAACCTCATGCAGAAGCGCAGGGTCGATAATCTCAGAAAATGGTCTTTCCTCCCTAAACGCCTTCCTAACAAAACCCTCTAGTCCCTTGCCATCATTCTCGGGGCCCTCATCTGGCAGCTTTCCTGTCAAAATCTCTAATAGCACGACACCAAAAGAATAAACGTCACACTTCTGTGTGAACTTGCTGCCAGAGTTCCGAGCCTCAGGGGCCAGGTAAACGGTCGAAGGAGCTGAAACTTTCAAGCCAGATGTTACAATGGAAGAGCTTGAGTTCTGTTTTCTAGATGCTGAAGTGGTGAACTTGGAGGAACCTGATACAAGACGGGTTAGTCCAAATCCTGATATGTAAGGCTGGAGATCATCGTCAAGAAGGATCTTTGTTGATTTGAGGCTGCCATGGACATACTTCCGAGGAGTGTACTCGTGTATGTACATTAAACCTCTAGCAGTTCCTTGAGCAATTTTTAACCTCGCTGACCATGATAATTGTGGTAAAGAATTGGAAGGTCCCTCTGTTTGAAAAAGAAAATGTGTTAGTTAGCCATCATATTCTTTCGATGATTAAAATAAATTGCAACCAACCAACATCCTTTATAAATCAACTCTCATCATAAAAAAAAAATAAAAAAAAATAAAAAAAAAACATGCCAACTTTCATATAGAGTTCGGAGTGATCCTAAGTTTCTTCAACAGATTTCCACTACTTTTTAATCTAACATCACGATTATACCGGCATAATCAACATCAAATTTGTAGATTTCTGAAGGAAAATTAACATGCAGCAGAACCATAAAAGGAGTTTGGATCCTTAAAGCAAGGCAACAGTTGCTCCAGTGGACCATTTGCTTCATTAAATGTCAATGAATTGGATTGAATGGAAAATTAAACACTGAACATTTCAGTGAATGTCTTGTGGTCCGGAAAATGTTATCTAACAAAATATCTGGCCCTAATTTTTTAAGGAAGTGTTTTTTGAGGTCCCGATTTTTCAAAACAAGTGTTTTAACCTATCAAAATTTAACACTCCCACAACGATAAATAGAAGTGCTCTTAAAAGAATTCAAATCTTCAATTTAATAGTAATCAGTCACATATCCACCGGACCAACTACTCGTGGAGGATTTGAATAAGCATGCAAATACTTATTTTGAAAATTAGTTAGTGCCAGATAACATGCATTCCGGGCAGGAAAAAAAACAAACAGCCATAACTGTGCCTGAATTGAATTATTAATTAGCGAATGGAGACAAAAACTCTGCAAGAATGTCAGAACACGAGCAACAACTAAAAGGGCCCCAATAAGTATGAGTGTATGACGTTTCATGAAGAGAAAGTTAAAATGGAAATGCTAAGTACTCATATTGAAGTTTAAAATCCCATCAAGAAAAGAGAGAAGAAAAAGTCAACTCAGGAACTGCGCATCACACATGGGATGTTACGCTTGGAACACGGATCTAACTACTTGATCTCTTTTGGGCACAAATAATCATGAATTTTGTTATAAGAAGAAAGATATGTGATATTGTACTAACTTATTGTTCACATCATACGATGTATGTAAATTTTGATAAAGATGAACGGCCACTTTCTATGACTTTTTACGACGCTCTCTCTTAAATGTTCAGTATTTATAATATCTCATTAAAAATCTTATTAAGAAAAATATAATGGAATAAAAATCATAGCAGAAAGAGTACATTCTTTTATGTGTTTTATACTATCTCGTTAAAAACTTTATTAATAAAATTCTGTGAGATAAAATCATAATAAGAAAAAAGAGTACAGCTACATAAATTATGTTGTAAAAAGTCAAAACAGACAGCTGTTCATCTTTATCAAAATTTACACAACAACACGTGATATGAATAATAAGTTACATATAGTAACTTAATATTCATTATAAAAACAGGCATTTTCGTTCTCTTCGATGTACTTTTATATCAGAATTCAAAATAAGAATCTTTCGCTCTCTCCTCTCTATCTCTGTCGTTTCAAGTTTTTAACTTTAATACCTTTCTTTAGTATCTCCTTATGTTCTTTTGTCTAAAAAATTCAAAAAAAGACAACTCGAGTTCTAACTTTATTCAAGTTCACGTTCTTTTAAGTTTTAATTTTATTCAACTTTACTCAACTTTATTCAAGTTACAACTTCAACTCAAGTTATAACTCAAATTCAACTCAAAAATTACACTCAAGTTACACTCTAAAAGAATAACCTTACTTTTTTACAACAAATTCAACTCACTTCAAATAGTTGGTCTCAAGCTAACTGTATGTAAACCAAATGAACAGGCTATAATCTAGAAGAAATCAACAAAAGGAAATGATCACGACTCACGAGAGGTGATCAAAAGGTTATAATCTGTCTCAAATATCAACTTCAAAAATTACGAGTATATTATTTAATATTCATATGTGTGTCCAAAAACAATGCATTAGTACTACAGTGCTTTTAATTTTTAGACTGTTCTTCAATTCTTGAGCAGCATGGACGTCCTCAACCAAGGAGTCATGTCCATGTCTTAAATCAATTATACTCGAGCAATTATTCTGCAGCCTGCATATGGATTATTCTTTTGTAATATAAATTTTAAGGGAGATTTTTTTCTACGTCTAATATATCAGTACGTCAAATTTTTTTAACCGTTAAATTTACACATATTTTAATTTTTACGTAATTTTATACAAAATTTAACAGACAAAAAATTAAATCTACCAGTATATTAGAAAGTCCTTAACTTTAAGATGTTTAAAAGAAAAAAAAAAGAAAAAAAAAAGAGAATTTCTCTAATGTTATTAACACCAGTGTTCTTACTTATCAATCGTCGAATTTATATTAAATCTTATTAAAAATTAAGTTAAATTAAAAAAATAATACAAATTTGAGAATTAATAATAAAAAAATACCGGTGTTTAAAAAAAAAAAAAAAAACACTAAAGAAATTTAAAAAAAGGGATAAACACAAAACAAGGACGCCTTACCTTTAATCATGAAGAAAGGTACACACGGAGCCCACAGTAACAGATAAACTTGGCCATTATGAGTTGAAAAAGGGTATTTTACTTTTTTTTTTTTTTTTTTTTTTTTGGGAATTGTTATACTGTTTTTGTATTTTACTTTTTTTTTTTTTTTTTTTTTGTTGAGAATTGTTATACTGTCTTTCACATGCATGCTACTGTGTTAAAATTTAGTAATTTGCTATATGTGTTTCATTTGAATATGACAAGTTGTAGCTAGTATAGTCCAATTTCAATCTTGATTCCATAACAAAACAAAGAAAGTTTTTACTGTGTCTTTTTCTTTTGGTTAAAAATAACGAAACGAAACAAAAACGCAGCTGATGCAATAATAATCCATATTGTGTTGTGAGGGGTGTGGTGTATACCTAAACAATATTTATACTTGCGACAAGTATAATAACTGTGGTAGTCAGCACGGTCGGAAACACATCTCAAGCCCAAATAATTATGGATCTCATTGTTTTTTGTTTTGTTTTAGCTTCTATTTTATTCGGGGTAAGAATGATTATTTTAATAATTAAATTAGTTTTTTAACGGTATTGTGCATATTAAAATTTTACGCTCACAAAACAAAATTGTTCTTGCTCACAAATCTAATCATTGAAGTGGATAAAATAACATTATCTACTATTTAATGTCCACATAAAAAAAAAGAGTAACAACAAATATTAAGTTATCTTATCTACAAATGTTTTGACATGTAATATGATTAATAAATTGCAATTTTCTATATTAACAACTCATGCATCATAGTATTTAGTATAAAGAATTTAGATAAATAACTAAAGATTTCTAAAATTATACGTGTATTTTTTTTTTTTGTCCGTGAGGAAAGTGTGTCACATAATAACCGATTTAAACTAATAAATACGATAATAAGAGAATAAAAAAAAAATCTACAATTTTAAAGATGCCACATTAATTTACACGTGCATTGCGGTCCAAAACAAAATTCAGACATTCAACATAAATGCGAAAAATCAATCATTTTGGTAGAATTGAATTCAGAAACTCTTTAAATAAAAAACAAAAACAAAATATCACAACAATTAAAGGAGAGGAATGTTACCGTGTAGCGCGATGTACAGACTCCCATTGCGGATGAAGTCACTGACGAGAAGCTTCTCATCGTTTGCGTAATAATACGCCCTCAGCCGCACAATGTTGGGGTGGTGGACCCTACCGATGGCGTCCATCTCTGCCTCGAAGTCCTTAAACCTCCACGTGGCGTCTCCCTCGCTGAGCCTCTTGACGGCTACGATGGTTGGCGCCGCACCCGATCCCTTCCCCCCTCCGGCCACCACTCTGTAAACAATCCCGTTCCTGCTCTTCCCCACCACGTAAGCCGACGCCCTCAGCAGATCCTCCAAATCCAAACTAAAACCCTCGTCCACCACCACGAATTTACCCTTTTGCCCCTCCTCCTCCGCCACCTCATGATTTACCTCCGCCTTCTTCTCATTACTTCCATTTTTACCCTCACCGGCGTTCCATTTTCTTCGGAACAGCCACACAGTCACCGACAAGGCGCCGATCACCACCGATACGCCGGAGATTATCGGAACCGTCACGGAGCTGCCGGAATTTCCACCGGCGTCGCCATCTCCGTGCTCGCCTAAGCGAGGGATCGACTTCAGAGGCTTCTGAGGGTTTTCTTCCCCGCCGGTCGAGCTCCTCGAGAGATTGGGGTTTTGCGCCTCCGGACACTGAGTCTCGAGAGGGAATCCGCAGAGGCTTGGGTTTCCGGTGAACGCCGTCGGGCCTTGGTTCAGCCGCGATCCGACCTGAGGGATTTTTCCGGTGAGGTTGTTGTGCCGGAGATCGAGGCTCACGAGGACAGGGATTCGTCCGTACGACGGAGGAAAAAAAATGCCGCCGGAGAATCGGTTGTAGGAGAGGTTTAGGGTTCCGACGAGGCTCTGGAGGTCGCCGAGGGAGTCGGGGAGAGAGCCGTTGAGGAGGTTGGAGGAGAAATCGAGGTGTCTGAGAGCCTTGAGGTCGGCGATCTGGGCCGGGATTGGGCCGGAGAGGGAGTTCCGTGACAGGTCCAGGACAATGAGGCCGGTGGCCTTGAAGAGGTGGAGAGGAAAGGGCCGGGAGAAGTTGTTGTGGGCCAAACTGAGTCGCTTGAGCGAGTCGAGACGGCCGAGTTCCGACGGAATGTAGCCTGAGAAGCCCTTGTTTGGGAGGTAGAGATCGGTGACGCGGCCGAGCGTGCAGAGCACGCCCCGCCAGCGACACGGAGTCGTATCGGACTCCGACCAAGATTCGAGAACTCCGCTGGGATCGGCGTCGATTGCGGCTTTCAATGCAAGGAGTGAAAGTCCGTCGGAGTTGAGAGCGTACGAGAAGGAACCGAAGACGAAGAAGAAGATCGTGATCGTGAATAATGAAACCATTGATCGAAGTGGAAGAACCATTATGATGAAGTTTGTGACAATGGCGATCACTTCTGATTCATTGGGAGAGAGAATTTCGGTTTCGGTTTCTCTGCAACGAGAAGTTGCAGAGAGTGAGATAGCAGAGAGAGTAGTTTTTTTGAAGAAGAAGAAGATGTGGGTAGTTTTAAGTTTGAAGTATGGAAGTGAAGTGAAGTTCTCGAGGAGGTGGCGAGTTTCAACGTGGAAGTAAATTTGAATTTTTCTGACAAAGTAGACCCTAATTAAGTAATAAATAACTCAAATTAAAATATTTTATAATCTCTTTAGGGGTAATTTTCTTTAGGTAGGAGGTGTGCATTTGATTTAGAAAGAATAATGGTTGTCTTGGGACGTTTGGTAGAGAGATTCGTTCCCTAATTCGTGATTTGTTATAGTATTTTCTCTCATAAAAAATATATATAAATCAAAAATAATTTGAATCACATGATTTGAATCATCCAACCAAATAAACCCAAGTTGCAATTTTGGTACATACAGGTTTTTAATCTCTTGATTAAAAAGAATCAAAATTTCAATTAATAATATGCTCACGGAGTAGTCCCATTGAAGTTAAAAGTGAAACTATTCTAGTTTTTTTTGTTCAAATTTAAAACTAATTCTTTTCTTTAAAAAAAATATAGTGTAGTAACCATGAAATAATAATTTGAATCCGATACTCTTCAAAATATATATATATATATATCACATTATCAAATTTTTATATTTAATAATAACCTTCGATATATATATCACGTTATTAAATTTTTATATTTGATAAAAAAACTTAAATATTAAAAAACTCTTATAATATATATATATATAACACTTGAATTCAATACGAACTTAATTTTTAAAGAATAATTATCACTGGTACATTTAAATTTTAGAGTCATTATGAGTTTATCTTTGAAATTGTAAAGACTCTCACTTTATCCTTTATATTTTGAATTTTCTCACTTAGCCCTTTACAGCCTCGTTTATTTCACCGATTTGAATTTTCAGTTCTAGATTTTTACAGTAAAAAGTTCTCAAAAAATGTCATATCTAACTTTTTTTTTTCTACAGTAAAAAACTCTCAGAAAATATCACATCTCAACTCGAATTGAAAACTCAAATTCACGAAGTGAATGATGAATGATCACACTTAATTCCATCTTTTTGTCGTTTGATTTTAACAAAAATCCTTTAAAAAAAATTAAATGAGATAAATTTAAAATTTAAAGAGTAAAATGAATTTTTAAAATTTAAAAAATAAAGTGAAAAAGTGAAAATAATTCATTTTTAAAAGTCCCGTTCATTTCACAGATTCGAGTTTAGAATTTAAATTTTAATACAGTAAAAAATTTTTAAAAATAATCACATCTAATTTTTTTATTACAGTTAAATATATTCACATAAAATTATATTTTAATTTAAATTCTTTTTTTTTTATTACAACTATTTTAGCTAATATAATACGCGTAAGAAATAGAAAGGACGGCCAAATGTCTATCTGTATTCTGTACGATTCGACCGTTGTCCACAATCTCAAAAGAAGAAGCATGAAAATTACTTGTTCGGAAAGAGAGAAGAAAAGGTTGGCCTTCAGGAGGTGTGTTCGGGTGGGGACAGCATAGTAATTTCCGTGTTGGTGTCGGAGAAATCATTGTTACAAAGAAAAATTTGCGCATTGTGGTGGTGACTATCTTTTCAGTTCCACTACCAAAAGGCTTTTTCAGTAAATCCAACTCGGATTCTGAGAATTCAAAATTGATAGTGAAAGGGCCGCTAGCTAGATAAGAACAAACAAGGGGGATTTTCTCCGGCTTAGTTTATTAATTTAAATTTTTAATTTAAGTTAAAATGTAATTTTATATGATATTTTTTTATTATAGTAAAAAAATTAGATATAATTATTTTTTAAAATATTTTATTATAATAAAATTTAAATTCTAAACTCGAATCGGTGAAATAAATGAGACCTATAATTGTTCTTTCATCATTGTTTATGACTTTATTCATATGATCTGTGCATGACACAAGATTTGCTTCATATATGGTCGTACTCATGTCCTTTTTTGCATGTAATATATACATGTTTTCTGCAATCTTACATAAATTTTCATTTTTGAATGAAAAACCCAAAATAGATTAATGTTAGATACCATGTGCAATTATTTTGCAATGATTATTTTTCTTCGTCTTAAATGAAACACGATCCATTTTGGTTTTAGGGAAAAAAAAATACTTTAATGAATCATGAGATTAGAATTATTTTTAATTTATGTGTGTTTTTTATAAGAGAAAATATTACAGTGAACTATGAATTATAATTCGAATCAGAAAACGAATCCTCCAACTAAACGAGCTCTAAATTTATAGTTCGAAAGTCCAACTCGCAGGGTGTTTGGAAACACTGATCATTTGCAACATTATAGCATGTGGTAGTGTTGGTTTAGCTTTGAGATCGATTAGAGATATTGACGAGAGCTCGCGATTTTTTGTTTTGTTTGTTCTCTTGGATGGGGAGGAATGTCAAATGTCGTGGTGCATAGAGTTAGCCACTGAGCTCTTTTTTTTTTTTTTTTTTCTTTTTTCTTTTACAGCATTCTTTATTATTTCAGAATCTTTATTAGATATATTTTTTTGAACGATTAAGGTCTCATTTAGTTCGTTGATTTGAGTTTTTAATTCAAGTTAAAATGTAATTTTATGTGAAAGTTTTTAACTGTAGCAGAAAAAATTAAAAGTGACTTTTTATGAGATTTTTTAACTGTAATAAAATTAAAATTAAAAACACGAATTAGTGAAATGAACGAGGCATAAGTTTTCTTTTAGTTCTACGTGAGCGAGCTCTCTATCGTGGAGTTTTGTTCATGAGTTATTTTTCCTCATTTAAGGAATACTTTCTCATAAAAAAAGGGAGAGAACATCGAACTCGAATAAATATACTTCCAAAATCTTTTTGAAAATAAATGACGAATGAAAGTAATAATCTTATGAGGCGTTTGGTTCATGGATTAGAATAATGAGATTGGAATTATTTTCAATTTATGTGTATTTTTTATGAGAGAAAATACTGTAGTGAACTATGAATCATGATTCAAATTAGGGCACGAATCCCTTTACCAAACACACCTTTAACCATTAGGCCAAGCTGGACAGTCCAGTAGTACTGTTGATGCTGGCATTGCTAAATAATGCTAAAGGCACCAAAATAGCTCCAAGTACCGACGACCTACTTAACAAATAATTTGTAAACGAACCTCATTTGTTACATTATTGTTTATGCTTTTATAATCCCATTCATGATGTCAAGTATCAAGATTACAATGACAGAGGCGGAGTCAATAATTTTTTCAGGGGCCTAAACTGAAGCAAAATTTTGAACTTAGGGTATAATTGAACTTTTTTCCAAAAGATTACGTAAATGTTGTAATTTTTTAAAAAATTAGGGGGAGCAAATAAAGAAAAAATTGTAAAAATTTTAAATTAGGGTCAAAATTTTTGAATTAGGGACAAGGGACAAGATACACCACTATTCAGGCCCGCCAACAAAAATAGGGACTTGATTTTTACTGTTGTTAGAGAAAAATAGACAAATATACTTAAAAGTAAATAAGTCTTGGATTTTTAGCCCTACTATTCAATAATACCATTTAGTAAAAAAAAAATCTATACTAATTAAAATAATATTAATAAAAAATAAATGATAAAAATTCAAACTCATATACTTTTAAAATAAGTTAACGATCGTCTCTTCTTGTTGTTATTATGATACTAGGGCCCATAAGAAGTTATTGCAGAATATTGCATATTCAGCTGTTCCAACAAGTGTTAAAAGAAAAACATTGACCCAAAATCATAGCACTAGTGGGACCCCTTCTTTTGAGAATTTGGTATAATGGTTCTCTTTGTCTGTGTCAAGCTATTGGCTGGTAAATATCCTTAATTAAGTGCCCACCTGCTATATTGTCGTAAAATGGTAAGTTTTTGTGTCAAAAGACTTTTTATTCCTTTTTTATTTTCCATGCTTTACTCAACAAATTTGTGTCAAAATCTCTTCTCCCACACTCTAGAAAAGAATGATAACTCTAACTGGAAAGGAAAATTTTTTATTATCTTTACATCTTTTATAGAAAAGGCCGCAAATGATTGGGGTTGTTTGGTTAGGAGATTCGTACCCCGATTCGAATCATAGTTTATAGTTTACTATAGTATTTTTTCTCACAAAAAATACACGTAAATCAAAAATGGTTCTAATCTTATAATTCTAATTCATGAACCAAACGTCTTGATAATTAGTCTGAACTTAAAGCCCACAATAGGTAAAACATAGTTGTATAATTAGGATTTGTTATTTTACATGACTTGTTATGATTTGAGTTGTATATATAAGAAAAAAATATTATAGCAAAAAAGTTAAATTTAAATTTTTATAAGAGAAAATACTGTAGCAATATGACTTGAGTCATGAAATAAACATACCCTTACTATATGCACACACAAAAGATTGCGATGTGGTTTACTGTCTACTTGGAAACTTGTTTGAATTTTTAGTATTATACTAGAGTATTTTTTTTTTAAAGCATAAATGTAAAGCTGTTAGATTTTGATGATATGTTAGGTAATTTTCTCGATCAAATATACCTTGCATTGATTTTCTTTTGAGTAATCACTGACAAATGATTATTTCATCCATAAATGATTATTTCATCCATACATTCTAAAGATATATTTGTTACTAGCAACCTCTGTCACTTGGGAGAAGAATTATGTTATGAAGCGCTTTTGTTTCAATCCTGTGTGAATTGATCTTAAAATGTCTTAATATAAGTTGTACAAATCCGGATTGACCTGATTAGAGAGAACAATTAATTTCTGTATATACTTAAATTGCATTGCGATCTGATATCAAATTTAATTGCATATACAGAGATATGGAGTTCTTGCCATAAATTTGTGGGCATTCAATTAAGACACATTTTTAATGTCACATATATGTTGACACAATGCATCATTCTAGATGAAATAAAAAAAAAAATACATACAGATTGAAAAAAGGAAAAAAAAAATCCAAGACTTTCACCTAAATTACCGAATACATACAGATGAAGAAAATTCTATCAAAATTATTTAGCAATAAAAGCACGAATATCTTTAAATGTATCT